TGTGTGACGTCACTGATGAGGAACGGTGATGATGCCGTTGTCTAGCGACTTGCACGCTTTAGTGGTTTAGTGGAGAGAGGATGTCTATGTCACATTACTGCTTGACGTGTCGGATTTGTCCTCGAACCGTATGCCGTTTATTAGTATTGCTGCTTACTTAGTTGACGGAGCCGTGCATTAGTGTTCCGAAAGAGCGTGCGAAATAGCGTAGCTTACGTGTGGAGTCGATCTCAGTGTTTAATGGCACGTAAGAACGTGTGTAATAGCGTAACTTACGTGTGTTGAGGTCGATCCGTGTAGTAGCGTTGGAAGGCCATGAGCTTGGCTTCCGTAGAGCTTGAGTTCGATCTGTAGGACGGCGATCCGATCTTGATGAATGCTTGATTGAACTAGTAAGAGCGCGAGAGCGTCAAGCACGTCTCCTTAAATATTCTAGTACAGGCTTGCGATTTCAGTGAATTCCAGATTACTCTTGTCATGTTGATAGTTAGAGTGACGTCACTAGAATCTAGCCTTGGAGAGTTCGTCGGCCCTTGTTAGTCGGAATTGTAATGTAATTTCGACTATTTGAGTAGTGAAGTTTCCCGATTTTGTAGAATCGTGTTTATGACTTGGCGCGCAATATTTTGACCTAAGCAGGTGTCTTTACCTCTCCCACTTTGTTTACCGCGTAAATTGCTGTAATCCGTAACAACATCATTGTAATAATAGTGTAACAGTGATGCAAAATGTTTACATGAGTAACCTATCAAAATTCAATAGTATAAAACTAGCGATAAAATAAAAATAAAAATTGAATAATACTCAAAAGACTAGACATAGCATTAAAAAAGAAATATTGAAAGATCTATGTGTACTTGCAGATACTTGTATAAACATACCAATAATAATATAACTTTCATTCACAGAAAAAGATTTTAAAATTTTTAAATTAATTTGGAATGCATTAAGTAATAAAGTAATGTGCAACCTAATTATAAAGCAAATATGAGAATTAGAAAGTAAACTATAGCTTCCATTTTAGGTTAAATTTATGATCCTTCTCAACTAATATGTTCCTGTCTGGTGTAAATTAACTTATGAAAATTAGATATTAGATAATTATTTTTAAAAATTCAGGACTTATGTTGTTTTTGAAGAACTATATTTCGTATTATGAATCTTCACATATAATAAAATATTGATAAGATTTAAATTTAAAAATATACGTGATTCATTATTTAAAATGATAATAACATATTACGTAAAAAAATTCCAAGTCAATAGTCATTTAGGCATAAATTAAGACTCTTTCTTCTAAAATTTCTAAATAAGAGATATTTGTACCAGCTAATAAAATCCTAAAATTCATGAATAATTCAGAAAATAAAGATTCGTCGAATTAGTAATAAACTATGTCATTGCATGTCAAATAACTCTAATCAACCGATCTTTTTACTATCTAAATATAATAAAAAATATTTAAAAAATTTCATTAGTAACAAAAATAAAAGAACAGATTACTAACTTATAAGCCATTAACCTGATTAAAACTCGGAAGCATTAAAAATGTACTCAAATCTTTATATATGTACTTACATTAAGTGACAATGCCAGATAATCTATTCTTAAAGAAAATTAATTTATATATTAATAAACAAATATTGAAGAAAATTATTACATGTTGTTATACCAATAAATATAATACTACAATTCATCATATGTTTCCTCCTTAAGTAGAATAAAGATTGAAATAAATATGTCTAAATAAAATAAGAAAATTATTAAGTATAAAAAATTACATTAGTTACTATCGATTCATAATTTGTATTGAATTGTTAAGAATGACAGAAATATTAATCAATATTCACATTATTAAATCCATATAATATAATATCCTATAATTCTCCTTGCCAATTATAATTACAGAATTTATTTTGTATATTAAGATAAAATGAGTCGATTATAATTTTACAGTTCATTTAGTAATAAGAATATACAAAGTTCTCGCATGAAATACATAAATTAGTGGTTGTATTTAATTCAAGCAACTTTAGTTTTTCGTATCAAAGTTTTTGTATCATACTAACTATGATCTGTTCAATGAATAATTTTCATTCTTCAGGATAGCCATATTAGTTTTAAGATTATGTATATTTATTGGAAACATGCCCTTTTTTACTAATATATATAAATTTATGTATCATCATTACGGTTTATATAAATATTAATATGGAATTGGCAAACAGCTTTTTCAGATTATTTAAAACAATTTATTTTTTGGCACAAAAGATGCCAAAATCTGTTCAAGATTGCGAGACCTTTTTTAATGCAATATAACATCTGGCAAAACAACATCGTAAAATTTGTGTTTAGATTTCAAAACTTTCTTGCTCGCAACCATCTAGCAATAGTGTCATAAAACATCTGGAAAAACAATACAATAAACACGGAAAAACCCACTCAGTTAGGCATATGTACGAATTCGCTCTGTTCTGTAATTACTTCAGGCATTATGTCGAACGGACCTACTCCCCCCTTCCCGCTGTCAACAAGTTGTCATGTTGTCGCCAGATGCGTCAGCTGCAACGACAGCTCTTTTTGCCATGAAGGCCAAGAGACCACTAGGCCCTTAAATAACTATGAAGCCATAAGAGGCGCTGTCCGCGCTCTGCAAGGGAGAAGTCTCTGATTGGACGAAAAATAAGGGAAGGGGTTCAAGTGAAGTTCATGGTCAGCAATGTATTTAAGGGGCGCATTTTTCAATATTCATCACTCTCGATACAGTAATTTTTCAAATAAGTGAAGTGGAACTCCATTAACGCTACCAAGGTAACGTCACGTACACGTCCTAGAAGAACGACGACATACACCCGTATGTCCACTAACGCAGTTCAAGAAATCGTCGTTACATGTTCCAGGAGCGACGAGTTCCACTTATCCGATTGTCCATTAACAACGCTGCCAAGGGAACAATGCTTACACGTCCTAGAGCAACGACGACATATCCCCGTATGTCCATTAACGCAGTTCAAGAAACCGTCGTTACAAGTTCAAAAGTAGCAACGACAATCCGCATATCAGAGTCCGAAGACGCTGGCAGTTTCCTATTAACGTAGTTCAACACAGCTATCGTTGCAAGTCCTATTGGCTGGAGATGAATTGCCTTATTGAAGTCCAGACACGTTAGAAGTTTCGTATTAACGTAGTTCAATACAACTATAGTTACAAGTTCTATTGGCTGGCGACGCATTTCAACGACAAGTGTCCAATAACAAGTCCCTTTGAAGAAAGAACAAGGAGGTCCCAATTTCAAATATACCAGCAGTCTTCGTAAGAAATATTATTATTACAATAATTACATACATTGAGATTCAGAGCATGACATCGACAAGCAACTAAGGGCGAAGAAGCTCTCCCCAGAGCAACAGTGCGGAATAGATTCTAGTACACATCGCAAAGTTTGCGCCTACTAAAAGGCGTCTTGTCGGCAAACCCTCACCTTAGTTCAAGTTCGGACGCTTATGAAATTAAGCAACAAACAGCGCGAATGTCGACGAATCAAGCTTCGCGCCACTCTGCGGTGAAACTCAATTATTACGCTGCATAGATGAGTGTACATTAATCCACCACAAGAATTATTTCAATAATAAATAATAGTAATAATAGTCTACCTTGTCATCAATAAATAACAGAATAAACAGCATATACATCAGTCATATTTATTTTGTATTATTATAATATCCCTTCCACTTGTTTTCATTTCATTTTTTCATTGCTATTTCATTTCATTGTTATTTCATTTCATTGCTACCACACAACACCCGTGGTCTCGTGAGTTGTCAACGGCATCAATTTGTATCCTTCGAACCCGCCTTGGTAAAACGAGCCGGAACGGCGAATACATTTTGTACAAAATCTCTATTCAGAAATGCCACTTATACTTTTAATTCATGGACTTATCGGGAACAATTAGCAAGATTTTCTTAATATATCTAACAGGCAACTATTACTAAAATATGGAGTGCATAAGAATAGATTCCGAGTATGTTCGCTACTTCGTTTACTTTATCTCTGCAGTACTAATCTTCATATAGACATTATTTTTGATACAGACTAGAATAAGTTAAATATGCTCTCTCTCTCTCTCTCTCTCTCTGTTTCTCCAGAGCATAAATACCATAATCTAAATCTGTACATTTTTTCTTACTTTTAACAATGATTTATAATATAATTATAATAATACTCTTTAAAATATATAATGAATAATTTTTTTTAAATAAATATTCATAATATTAAATTGAATTTATTCTTTTTGGCAATTTAAGATAAATGATAATTAGATATAAAAAATAATTCATTTATAGGTAGCAATTTAGACATTTCAGAATATAGAAATTTCCATATTTTTAAAAAATAATAATACTGACGAGGTTTTCAATATTTAACTATACAATATGAACAACATAGAAAATAAAAGCATCTAAAAAGATAAAATAAATCTTTTCGACACATTGTATATCTTGTAACATCTCATAATACAAAATATATTTTGTGCAACTTGCACATAAATTGATCACTAATTCTCGTATGCGCAATCAAAATATTGGAATAGTAATTTATTCAATTTTATTTTATTTAGATTTAAATTGTGGAAAAATCTATATCTATTTACTTTTTACGCTTACCGTTGTTCTTTTCACTTTTTGTAATTAATTATTTTAGCAGATATTGTAGAAATGAAGATATCCCATTATATATATATATATATATATATATATGCATTAAAGAAACAATAGTAATCTATAATTAGAATGTGTTTGAACACTTTATTTGAAATGATGAATTAATAAATACAATTTTTTTAATTATTTCAATCTTTTATTATTTAACATAAAACTGAATAACATGAATTTATATAAAAATGATTTGATTACAATTTAAAGTTAATTAGATCCAAACTACTTTATTTTTCCAGTATGTATAAAATGATTGACAGTATTTACAATTTTATTTATAGTTACAGCAGCTTCTTCAATTAATAAAATTTCACTTGAAGATACTTTTGGGAAACCAAAATTTCGTTGAATACCATTAGGTCCAAATTGTATTTGACTTGTCATATAATGACAAAATGGGAAAATATCTGATCTTACATAAGCACTTCCAATTGAAATACTTTGATCTTTAAATCCATTAATCAAAGTTGATATAAATTTTGCAGCAGCTAATCCACTGGATAAAGTTGGACCCTTAGTTTCACTTCCGTATAGATATTTATCAACAGATCTTAATTGATTTATTAGCATATATTGTTGTTCCTATGTGCATTAATATATTGTTATAAAATAATTCAATTAAAAACTAGTTGAAAATAAAAAATTGGTTACATTAGTAAAACTATTATAAGGTTTGGTTCTGGATAATAAAGGCACAACTGTTAATGAATCTACACCACCAGCAATTGGAGTGGATAAAAATGAAGGGTTTAAATGTAAAAGATTTGCTACCATAGCAGAAATTCGCATCGATTCTAATGATGCAGACCCAATAATTTTATTTGGATTCCAGGTACCAGAAAGTTTACAAATTTCTGATATAAGAGGTAAAGTAGCTGTTACAGGACGTGTAAAGACAGCAATTAATGCTTTAGGACATGTATTTATAATACATTCAGTAATATTTTTTACGTAATTTGAACTCGATTCAAATTGGTAAAATGGTTCTTTATTTCCCATTGAAAAATGTGTTTCATCCATAAGTGCAACAATATCAATCTAGAATTTATTAATTACATATTAATATATTTATTTATATATATAAATTAATTTTAATAAAATATTAAAATTACATCATGTAATGCATTGATTATCGAATTCCTTTTATAATGCATTATTACAGTTGAAGTATCTATTTGTCCTATGTCATAAATAGGACCAGTAAGTGAATTGTCTGTATCAATGACATGGATTACTTTTATTGCTGGATTTTGTTTTAATAAAATTGCTGAATACATTGTAGCACAACCACCTCCAACTATAGCCACTGATAGGGAATCTCTTTTTTGGTAATATAATTCTTCATTTTCTATATGATCTACATTAATTGTACATTTTTTCAAATTATTACTATTACATTTAGTTATATATTCAGTTTCAACATTTGGAATATGATTATTATTTTTAGTTTCAGAATTCAAAAGTTTATTACTAATTATTTTGGAATAATATTTTATATTTAAAACATTTTTCTTTAAATAAATCAGTGATTTCAATGTAATATTTAAAGGAAAATTTTTTAAATAATTCATATCTCTAAATGATATAATCTTTAAATATAAAAATATAACTTAAAATTTTCAATGTTGACATATAGCAATCACTCTGAACTTGCTGCTTAAATTAATTCACATATTATACATTTATCAGTATTTTGTTATATAATAATTTATTGATTAAATATATAAAAAATTTCGTTAAATATTTTATAAATTAAAAACAATAGATAATTTGTTAAAATAATGTTATGATTTATTTAACTGATAATTAAACATTATATTTTTTATTACAATAAATTTCATTTATTTAATGAAAATTCATTTATAGAACTATGATATAGTGGTACTCCTTTTAAAGTTTGTGAATTAGCATCAGTAATTTTTACAACTATATAGTCTCCATATTTTATTTGTTTGCATGATAACGATCTATTAGTGTTTGGTATTGTTATATCAGGAAATATTACCTTAATATTTCCATCATTACGTCCAACTAAACTTTGAGTCGATCGCTTACTTTTCTAAAAATTAAGATATTTTGGATTTAAATTATTAATTGAAATTTTTTTTTAAAATTAAATAATTTGTTTTTACCTTATCAACTAAGATTAATTGTTTTTGTCCAATTTGAGTTTTATATAATATTTCTGCTTCTGATCTATATAATTTAATCATTTTTTCTAATCTTGCTCTTTTAATTTTTTTATTTATGTTATCAATGTAGCATCGATAGGCACTAGTTTTCTAAATAAAAATATGTTCCAAATATGTCAAAGCATAAAATTAGTAAAAATGGAATATATTTAATACATTTAATAATATATTTAAAATAAATCCTTACATCACGCATGCTGTATGCATATAAATATGCCATGGTATATTTAACTTCTTTTAATAAATTCAAAGTTTCATTAAAATCTTCATCTGTTTCATCACAAAAACCAGCAATAAAATCACTAGACAGCCGTACACCTGGAATTATACTTCTAATATGATATACAAGATTCAAATATGCTTCTTTAGTATACCCTCTTCTCATTCTTTTTAAAACATTATTGCTTCCACTTTGTGCAGGTAAATGAATCTGATGACAAATATTATTTCGCTCACGAATTAAATATAACACTTCATCAGGAAAATCTTTAGGATGTGGAGAAGTAAATCTTAAAATATGTTATACAATCAATAAATAATTTACTTTATATTTGAGTAAAATTATAATATATACCTAATTCTCATTTCAGAATTTATTAATGAAACTTTATCTAATAAATCACTAAATCTTAGTCCTCCTAATCTATTTTTATATATAGTAGTAAAGTCTTTTGAATGATTTGTCTTTACATTATTATTCATGTAAAAATTTGATTGAGAAATATCTCTATAACTATTAACATTTTGACCAAGAAGAATTATTTCTTTAATACCTTGATCAGATAGTTGCTGTATTTCATCTAAAATATTTGTAATAGGTCGAGATTTTTCATGTCCTCTAGTAAAAGGAACAACACAATATGTGCACATGTTGTTACATCCTCTCATTATTGAACTAAAATATATAATAAATTATAATACATAAATGACTAAAATTAAATAATTTATAACATACTATATAGACAATAATTACACATAAGCTGTTTTTGAGTTTGGATTTAATCTAATAGGTGTCACATCTGCATAGGTTTCATCAACAGAAAGTGTAACATTAATAGCACTTTGGTAATCATTACTTATATACAAAAGCCTCGGTAAATCTTTATAACTATCTGGACCTGCTATAATATCTACTATGCGTTCTTTTGCAATTATCTTATGTTTTAAATGCTCAGCCATACAACCTAAATAAATTATTTTGATATTTTTTTTAAACATTTAATTAAATTAAAATAAACTAAAGAATAGTAATTTTCAATTAAATTTATAATTATCATTATAATTAAACCTAGAATGCCAATTTTAGAAACATGACTTTTTTTCCAATACTTTAGATTTTGTAGTTTATTCCATATTTTTTGTTCTGCATTTTCTCTGATAGTACATGTAATTAGTAAAATAATGTTTGCTTTTTTAATGTCATCTACTATGTCGTAATTGTGTTTTTTTAAAATTGAACAAATTATTTCGGCATCATTGATATTCATTTGACATCCATAAATTTCTAAATAAACTAAAGAAAGAAAAATAGAAAAGAAAATACTATAAAAATTTAAATCGTTAATCACAGTTTATATTACCTTTTTGATCCTTTCCATTGAAATTATTTAAATAAGGAATATTTTCACAATTAATGTTTACATTATGATTTGGTTTTGATATAAAATCAATGAGTTTAGGTCCAGCAGTAAAACATTTACTATAATTTGTATCTATAATTTATTTTAAAAATTATTAATATAACTTATTACTATTATATTAAAATTATAAATATCTAATTAATATATCTAATTAATAATTTGTATATAGAATATTTTAATATGTAAATTATTTTAGTAAAAAAGATAAATTGAAATGCAAGATCCATTATGGAATTTAAATAAATTTTTAAAAAGTCAAAATTAAATAAAAAGATTATTTCTTGTAGAAAATATATATAATTATAAATTAAGAAATTTTTGTTTAATTATTTAAAATATTAATATCACCTTTTTTAGATTCTGTAATACATAATCTATTAGTTGTAGTATTGTTCGAAATACCTATTTCTTTTAAATCAACAATGCTTTCCCTTTTTACATATCTTTTTTGAATCTTTATATTCTCATAAAACTTATTAAAATTGATACATCTCATAACACTTATAAATACTGATACTGATAAATTCATACACAATCCATTTTTTTGAAAGAATAAATTGTTATGCATAAAACTATTATCTTTTATAATAGGCAATTGAAAACTATGTTTTAGTAGATGCATTTCTAAAATTTTAAACTAAAGGAATACAATAATTTATAAAAATAATATATTTATTTCAACAGTAGAAGAATGTAATAAATTAAATATTTATTTCAAATTGACATAATAATATAATTCAAGATATTGTATGTTCTACCTTATTTTTTCTTTAAAATGTTACATATTAAGAAAAAAACTCACCATAAAACAAAGGAAAAATAGAATATGTCAATTTAAATATATGTAATAAAAAGAACTATATGTACATATGACTATAATACCTATTTCATATATTTTATAACATAATGGTGTTAACAAATTAAAAAATTGCAGATTATTTTTCTGAAAATTTCTTTAATATTTAACTTAATAAAATCTAAAATACTGCAATTAAAATCTTTTTAATCATAAATAAAAATATTAATTGCATGAAATATAAACCTAATAAACCTATTCACATATAAATTTAATTCAATCAAAAATTAACAAAGTACAAATTAATTTTTTAAATATTGTGATAAATATGATTAAATAATCAATAAATTATATTAAGTGTACTCTCAAATATAGATTCTCATACATTAATACATATCTTTTTATAGATAAAAGTATACTTAAAAACTAAATTTCATATTCTTCATAATTCTACTTTATAATTTACAATTGTAATTTTACAAATGGGTGCATAATGCACATTCATTTAAACGAACTTCGTAGTTTAATTTTATTCCTAAAAATAAATTTTCTGTAAACAAATCAATAAAAATTAAATTAAAAATAGAAAAGATTTTATGAATTTTAAAAAAAGGTACCTCTATGTAGATGATAAAAAAGTAATAGGAGATAAAAAGTAAAATATTAATAAACTGACTATTCATACATATAGATTTGTAATTCAATTAAATATTATCCTTTTGAGTAGTTACGACAATTTAATTTTATATTATGTAGTACAAGGACCAAGGAACACCTAATTATCATGGCCAGCAATTCCATGTATCGTGAATACTGGTAATTTTGATTGGTTAAGAAATAGATAGGGAGTAAAAAATGATATCCTAAATCCCGTTAAAGAACTAATTAAACGAATTAATTTTATATAGCTTTATATTGCAATAAAATAGTATTTTATTAATTCATTATGGTACACGAAATTGTTAAAATGCTGTAATTCTTTTCTTTAGTATTATTTAAATTTGTTTATCATCAAGATTTTTATTCGTATAGCTTTTGAATTCTTATTATTTCGCGCTATGCTACTTTATTACTTTTATTGCACTTAATAATGGTAATTATGAATCAAACTAATGGTATTTCTAATCTTATAAACTATATCAATTAAATTAAATCATTGAACTATCTATTAGTTTATAAAATTACATTTTATTTTATATTCAAGAAATAATTATATATATATTTTTTTATAAAAAACTTATAAATTTTGAAAAAGAAGTTTTAGTATTATTTTATATAGTTATTAAATATTGTGCCAGTCCATGAAATAGGAGTTTGGACTTGTAATACTTAGCAAGTCAGTTAAATAATGCACCTTTTAAATGTGCACAATGGATATTTCATCTTACTGAATATTTCAAATACGAGCAATTGTTAGATAAGGTTTTACAAGGTTTAACAAATACTGATAATAAAGAAACCTATTACTTAAAATAAAAATATAAATTATTTTTTTATTTAGGGTAATAAAAAATTTAATATATTGTAATTAATATGTTTAGTTTTATATTTAGATTTATATATAGATTTATTTTAGATAACTTATACTATAATACGTTCAACAACAAAATCAAATTAAAAAAAAAAATTGTTTCATTTTTTTATTTAAATACTATATATATTAATAATCATGCATATTACCATGCAAATATATCATATATATTTTTTAAACATGTGTAGATGAAGTTCCAGCTTCTTGGATTATGCTTTAAAATAATATATTTATATGTGTGTACAATGTATACAAAACATCAATAAGCTTAAATTTCATCTATGTTTGTGTAAATACTATTTTTGTCTACTCTTCCTGTAAAACTAGTAATTTCTCTAATAGTGGCTACAACAATAATAATACATACTGTGCTGCTTTATTAGCCTTTCGAACAATACTCTGTTTAAAAGGACACAAGTTAATTAGTTGCACATTTATAATTTTTGAATTAGTCATTAATACATGAAAATAATTTCAATTATGTTTATAACTTTTTATTATCGTTATTTGTAAAACTAGATAATACTATAAACTAATTGAATTTCAAGCAAAAAAATATTTTATGGCAGAGTTGCATGCATACACCTGTATTAAGCGTTACCATTTATTTTTAATATTTTAGGTGTTTATATCTGTTACTGGTAAGAAAAGATATTTCTAAGTTTTAATGAAATAAAATTCTAATAAAAGCACGAAACACTGACATTAAATTTTAACTAAAACGAATTGGGAAATTCTTCAAATTATTAGTTTTTTTAATTATACTTTAAAAATAAATGTAAAAATGTTAACTATGTGTATTTATTGCTTTATCTAACATTATTTATATAATAAGTTTTAAGAGTTCTACAAAAGAAATTATGATCATTAATAAATCTATAAATAAATGATATATTTATTTTAAACATTTGAAATAATTTATTCATTAAATTAAATTTTCACTTTCTATTTTTTATTTATAGTATGTATATGTAGATTTATTTTATTACATATAATAGGAAACACTAATTTTTTGAAATTCAAAACAATTCATACTAATGATACCATAATTGTATACTAAATATTTTACTACATAAAATTATTTTATCTTATTAACAAAAATATTTCTAAGAATATATATTTATAAGAATTAATTTCAATATCAAATTGGATGTAGACTTAGATTATTTGGTTCTTTATTTAATATTATAATTTAGTATAAAAATTTAAATATTCAAATGTAAATATAATTATTTGATGAAATGAATTTTTTAACCAATTTAATGTTAAATTTTTAACAAATCCATTTTAATAATTATCTTACATAAAAGTAAATATTTAAATTGAACTTGTAAGTAAGAAGATGAAATGCTATTAATTTTGCATTTAATTTAATGCTATAGATTATTTTTTCCGCATTTTATGATGAAATCAGATAATTCAATATTTCTATCTATTTTTAAATTTTTTTCATTAGCTAGATGAAGAAGTGATACAAATGCAATAGCTGGACTTAAAGAATCAGCATTAAGTTTAGATAAGATCTTTGGTATTTCTAAATACATGTCACTAAAAGCTTTTGGTTCTATAGCCTTATTCTCGTTTTCAATTGCTTGTGTAATATAAAAATTTTCTTTTTCTGTTTCCTTAGTAGTTTTCTTTATATTTTTCCACATGGCTTTTTTAAGTTGCCGCATATCAATTTTTTTTGCTCTTTGAGAGTATGGAATGAAAATTTTATCAGTTAATTTTGGTATAGATACTAAATTATCACCGATAAATGCACCTTGACTTTGAATTATAGTAGATTCTTGATTGTATATTAAATTATGATCTTTTAAATGTTTTTCTTCTTCATTATCTCTAAAACTTTCCCCATTATCTAGTGCAACAGAATTAATATAATCATCACTATAATTTAAATTATCTCTATTAGCATTTATATCTATTTTTTCATTGTTAGAAAATTTTAAATTTTCTATTGGCTTATTAAAAAATATGTAATAACGTTTGAGATCATAATGTATATCTTGAGGAAAGGTAACTTTATCTGCTGACCAAATTATTTTTGTTGTTTTTGATAATAATTTAGTTTGTCTGTTTATTTGATTGAATTTACTTTTGCTTTCTTCTTTTGAATTTTTTGTGAAAACTAATTGTATTTCTTTTTTTTTTTTTGTTATATTTTGTTTACAAGTTTCAACTATTCTACTACTACCAAGATTTTTATTTAATATTATTTTCCAGTGGGATGGACCAGCCCAATGAATACGATAACTTTTTTGCAAATAGGAATATTCATAAGTTGCATTTGGATTTGGATTATTTGCAATAATATCTTGAAAATCTACTATATTTTCAATGTGTTGATTTTGTACTAATTTATCACATCTTTCTTCGTACGCATCTCCACAGTCCATCAGAGTATCACTATCAATAACATCGTCATCAGCAACTATAGCATCTAAATCAAAATGATATTCACCATCATTTTCATTTATTTGACTTTTTAATTCCTTAGTTTGAATATCTGGTGACCAATCAAGAAATTTGAAAGCAGAATATGATGGACAAAGTATGTGGCTTGTAAAATCATCAATAATATAAGTTGAAATTTTTAAGGGTTGATTATAAATCATTGAAATTTTATCTAAAATAACATCATTATATAAATTCAATGCAACACCATGACTAGCATGTTGTGGAAGACCTGCTTGAAAAAGCATATCTGAAGTTTGAGTATCTCTTTGACACCTTATTAATGATAATGGATCATATGTTTCTAAATTACCCTTTAGGGCTTCGACTTTAGATATTATGTGCTGCAAACTTTTTCTTTTGGTTTTTTTTTGTTGAATATCGTTTTTATTTATATTAGAATTATTAATATTTTCATTAGTTATCTTTTCATCCTTAAGATCTCTTTTATCTTGTTTTACCATACCTATAATTTTTAATAGATCAGAATGAACTTTATCTACTCGAAATCCATAAATTTTTGCACTAGCATCTAAAGATGCACTAGCCATTTGTAAATTGGTCATATTCGGATCTTGTTTTTTTAACGTATAAACTAAAAAATCAATCATTTTTAATTGAAAAGCATTTTTGTCATTAATTTTGTTTTCAGCGCTTAATTTTATGCACTGGGCAATTTGATTACTCATTTCTACAGAAGATAAATTAGATATTGCAGATAAACCAAATGCAGAAGGTCTACGTTCATTTCCTGACAAAGATGTTGATGCTGGACTACTAGTTTCATTTTTTTCTCTTCTTGCCAATCTTTCTGCTTCATCATCATTTTCTTCAATATTAGTTTCTATAATTTTTTGTGCTGCTATAGAACGTCGACGGCGAGTTGGAGATATTGTTAGAGAAGGTGCAATCTCAGATAAATCAAAACGCACTGCTCCTAAACTTCTTCTATTTGATCCAGCCATTGCTCATTTAAGATCTATTAAATGAATACATACAAATTATGAGTTAAATAATTAACTTATTTATTAACTTTTACGCTATTCAAAATTAACTTGATCAAATTTATTTTATGTAAATAAGATAAAAAAAAATTAAGTTAGTAAAATTATAAAAAAAAAAGTATTTGATGTTTTAATATTTATAATAAAAGTTAATGATTAAAATATAGTGTTAATACGTACTCAGCAAATTATAATAGTTATCACTTATTTTTTCCAAATCAATTCTAAAATGACGAATTAAAGTATACAGTTGTTGAATTTGTTTATGAAGTTTTTTTAAAACTTCTAATTCTTTTCGTAAATTCTATAAACATATCAAAAATATAATTATACAAATTTAATAACTATAAATAATAGTTAATTCTAGTTAATAATATTTAATAAATACATGTTCTTCCATGAGACACTATTTTTGAAAATATAATGTAAGTGAACTAAATAGCTTTTTAAATTTTTTCTATGGATATGTAATAATCATAGCTTCACTCAACGGTTTGTACCTTTAGTCTCAATTGGTAGACCGAACGTTCATAAAGACATCTCGAATTTTTAAAAAGATTTTGAAAAAATAAAATTTGTAATTGCTTTAGTTTCTAAAATAAATTTAATTGGTTATTTATTTTCAAAAAGGATAATTTCAAATAAATGAAAACAGATAATATGAAAAATACAACACAAATTATATAAATCAAGTAATGAAATGTGTAAAAACATTATATATTATGTAATTAAGAATCTGTAGTTTGTCATAATATGTAATTTATATTAAAACCAAATGATACTATAAAAAAAAATTAAACACTTGAATTAGCCTTAAATTTTAATTAAAAATTTTTTTAAGTTCTATATTTTATTATAATAAATGACATAAACGATTTATACTTATAATACTTAATATACTTAATATGCTATAATGGAAATAATTAATAATTTATACATAAATAAATTTTAAACAAAGTATATTGAATTAATAGCTAAATAAAGAAATTTTACTTCTTTTAGATCATGTTGTAATTTCTTCGACTAATAATAATATGTAAGCTATAAAAAACCTATTTAACATCAATATTGTAATCATAAAATTGGATAAATTCCAAAACAGTGTGGGGATATTAATGATGTCGTCTAATGTCTTTTAAAAAAACCCCGAATATGGACGAAAATTGCCGAGTTCGTTGATCATAACTGTTGGATTAAGATGGCGGTCTTGCAAAGTTTTCACCGTTCGTGTTAAACTGACGAAGGAGAGTTTGAACGCATTTATATTTTTAAATACTGCTTGATATAGATTTTCAAAATCTTTGACAGATTTAATTTCAATGTTTTGGTTATATGTTATTGTTTGAAATAGTGAAATACCGAAGAAACATTAAACTCAAAGAATACAGAAAGTGAGATTAAATAAATTATTAAATTTTACATAAGTGAGAAAAATAAATAGTTTTTTTGAAGTCATTGAAAAAAAATTCTTAGCTGTAAAAAGCGATGATATAAAATATAATCATAAACCAGCATTGAACTACTCACAACTTCTGTGTGCGTGCGCGAGTTCGTTAAGATAATGGGCAGCCCTGCTGTCCGCAGATTGCCCGATGAAAGCAAATGATGATTTCAATGATATATAATTCTAATCCACCAATTGTTAAACAGCTATTATGGTGGAAGAAAGCTGAGGGTGAGGTCAAATGGATTTTAAAAGTTGTAAAAAACTCAAGAAATTTGTGGGTCTAAAAGAACTTAAAACAGTTATTACTCAAAATTGCAACACTAGTGGATCATCCTATCAAGGTAAATTTCTTTCTAATATTTTATTGATTCTTTTCCTCTCATTTCTTATACTATTCTACTTATGTACATAACTATAAATTGCACTCAATTTATATAAATAATTTTAATAGATTTGATAGATTAATTAGAGTAATGAAGAACTAATAGATATGCTTTGATAGTCATAACCTTTTTATATTGTATTGTAACTTCTCAATATCTTTTTTTTGCAATATCAAGTTTGGTTAATTTAGAAAACTTATATTTAATTTTATTGAATTACAATTTTACCTTCATTTTATAATTGATCTTAACTTGACAATTTAATACAGTTATTTACTTTAATTTTATATATAATATTTGGATAACTATGAAATTCTATGTAAAAGTAATACTTTGTAAAATTCTTATTATGCATACATACATATATAAATATATATATATTTATATATACAATCAATCACTACTTCTTTTATTATTCAATATTATTAAATATTATTTTTGTCCATTAATTTCATCTTACCATATACAAAAAATAAAATAAATTGAAGGTTTTGTTATTGTCTTTTATAATAAATATTTGATGTCAAATATTAAAATATTATTTGTAATTAAATAATTAATCATTTTATAAAAGTAATTATCTTTACAACACATAAGTGAAAATTTTTAATTATTTTTTTTCTTATATCAAAGTATTATTAGTATTAAAAAATAAAATTAACATATAGATAATTATTAAATACATTTCTTTAGATATACAGCATAGAATTATTAGTAAAATTTGTAATCTAATCCTTTAATCCATATAAATAAAACCATATTTACAAAAATATTATAATCAAAACATTTAGTTTAGAAATTGGATTGTTTTCAATTCTTTAAATATAAAATTATTTTGATTAAAAGAAATTACTTTTACAATATATTTGCATAATATACTTTTATAAAAATAATATATTATTTTTATAATAATATTTGAATATTAAGTATAACCTTTTATAACAATAAGATAAATGAAAAATTATTTTGTGTAAGATTATAGATTATGATTTTTTGTTATGTAAAATGCAAAATAAATAGTTCATTTGTTAAACTCAAGTATAAATTATTAAATATAAATTAATGAAAAATAGGTTTTATTATAAATATTTAAAAAAATATTTGTCCAAGCTATGTTGGTATAAGTAGAATAGTTTATTTTAAGTAAAAAAAATTAAAATAATGTCAATTAAAAAATAAGACATTGTAGAATGTTAAAACTAAATTAAATACAAAGAATCTTCAGAAAAACATAGAAGTCAATACCACAATAAAAATATTTTAACAGTCAAAAAATCTAGATAACATTTAATATATAGAATAAAACACCTATGTTTGTTTTACATATTATATTAACAAATAAAAAATTGTACATTCTTGTATTTTTGTAAATAGTTTTGTATAATAGTATATACTGTAAAAGACCAAGGCTATGAATTTTGTCAAAATTAAGTGAAAAACAAGTTCTCTAAACCAACATTTTTAATACTTTAAATTTATTTTTCATTGATTAATAATGACATACCTCTTGCTTTTCTATAAGAATGATAATATGAAAGATTTAATCTTTGTGATTTAAAATATTAAAAATCGCGAATATTTCAGAATGAGTTCTAATAATAATTTATATAATATTATTAGAATTTCAATGTTCTTATAAATATTTAGTAGACCAAATTATTTTTCACAAAATTGATAAAAATTAATACATAATTTATTCAAAATTGTCTTGAATCTTTTATACGTGTAATAAAATCTTGAAATCAAGTACTGAAAAATAATATAATTTAGTATAAGCTTAAAGAATCATTATAATGAATTGTTTTTACTATAGTAAAAATAGTTAAAAAAATTTAAATTTTTACTATATGTTAGTTGATACATTTAACAAAACTATAAAGAAATATACATTTAACATGCATAAAGAAATTAATTATCAATAAAATCAAATCATAAGTTGATCTAAATAAAGATATAAAAAATTGTGTGGTTAATTTTGTCACTTATTAAATATACACTAGTAATTAAGCAGAATTTTTTTTCATTTAAAAATTCTAGAATCCTTGAAATATACTTTATACAAATTAAAGATTAAAAATATTTTGTCATAAACATTTATAAGTTACAAATTTTCGAAATTAAATATATTAATTTTTTTCTTTTTAATAAGTTTTGACATATGATTAAATAAAATTTAAATGTTAATAGTTGTGCTTTAGAAAATTAAATAAATTTAAGTAATAACTAGAATAAATAATAATTAATTCAATTTTAACATATCCAATTGATATTATAACTACAATTAATAATATTATAAAAATTACATATAACAAATACATTTCACTTAATATAAATTATTTTCATAAAATTATAAGAAAAGTATAATATATTTTTTTGAATTTAATCGCAAAATTATCATATTTATTCAATTAATGGGTATGCTATTCTGGATTGTTTATTTATAATATTCGTAGAAAAAAATTAACATGAATAAATCATTACTATAGATCAACACAAAAAATTATAAATTCATCATTTTTAAAAAATTTAATAAAGAAATCAATATATAAAAATTTATACTATAGTAATGAATTTTAATGCATTAAGTTTTAGATATCTATAATTGGAATTAATACATTTAAACAGAAATTTGACATTTTGAAAAATGTAAGCATTGTAATAAGAATGAATTGTTAATTAATATTTCTTTTACAGTTAGCCTTATGTGTATTACATAACGTTGTTATAAATTGCTGATTGTACACGATGAAAAATTTGTTTCATTGTTAAAAAAAATTCATTGAAACATAAAAAAAATAGAAAATATAAATTTATGTTATCTAGAAATTGCCAATTTGTCTAGAAAACCAAATGAAAAATGTTATTTATAACTTTAAATATATTTTTAATTAAATTCTTTTTATAACAATTTAAAACTTGCAGAAAAATAGATCTTAGCGTATTCAATGAAATTTTTAACTTAGTATTTCAAATATTATTCTGTCTAAAAGTACGTATAGAATTTTTATTAATTAATTTTAGAAACAAGTTTGAGTAAAATTTTATTCTAAAAATATATGCTTTTATAAAATTTGTTAAAAATTTTCACATAAAATGTTGTTAATTTCCGTAAATAGTTCAGTAGTTATTTATATATAGAAATAATAACATTTTAAGTTTTTTGTTATAGGTCAAAAAATGAGTGTGAAACGTTTCCGGTTCCAGTGCACCTTCCGACGAAGTACTCTCTTTGCAAAGCTGTAGGATTTTAATACAAAAAATTTCTAAATAATTTCATAGATTCTAAAAAGTATATATTAATTATATATAAAATTTTGTTCAATTATTTACTACAAATAAATTTCATGTTAATTCTAAAAAAATAGAGTCGCGTTAAGAAGTATTACAAAATTTTCAATAAAACTTCAATTATGGGCTATAAACCATGTCTTAATATTATTGAAACAAATATTAAATTTTTCTATATAAGGAAATTGTACAATATAATGGTTATAGTATAAAATTAAATGGTCTAATCAAATGTCAAGTCGCGAAGTGCTTTTAAGCGTGCATTTCAACTCAGCCACCGAGGGAAATTCAACTTGCTTTCTTAGAGATTTATTTCTAAGATAACAAATAATTCAACTTATAATATTTTTTCTTTAATTTCATAAGTAAAGATGCAATTATTAAAAAAATAGTACTATTACTGAGTTTAAATAAAATTTTAAACAATACTATATCTAAACGATATAACCGTTTTTTTTAACTTTGTAAAAAAGTAATATAAATGATTATAAAATATAATTATAAAATTATAAAATATAAATTATTAAATAGTAAGAAATTTATTTATAATCATAAAACATAATATATAAGGTTTTTATAAAAATTTTTTAATTTTTAGTCTTTCAAAAATATAACTACAATTATGTATAAACAAACAGTGACTTTAAGTGTGATTTATTCATTTTATACTATTAATAACTGCAAAAATGCAGATTCAGTATAAATTTTTCATTGGAATACACTAATTAGTATATAGTAATTTAATTTGAACTTGTTTAATAATGAACTAAACAATTAAACGAACATTTTTAATGGTATTTACGCAATTGACATTAATACAAAATTTATGTTGAAAATATAAAAAATTAGTTTTATGAATATCTTTATTATATTACAAATTAACAATATCAAAAAATTTGTGAAATATCAAAATCAAGACTTCTAAATCTGTAAAGAATATTAACAAACAATGTACAGAACAAGTAGATAATTAATATTATTTTATATTTATTAATATTAATATTATTAATATATCTACATACATAGATGCATATATACATTCATAATTATACATAGCCTTAAAATTTTTTTAGAAAATAACATTGTATTCATTAATTCTTGAGTATTCATTGGTGGATAAGGAAACATTTAATTTAATTAATATCTAATTCTCTTTTGAAAGCATGGCTTAAGTATCGTTATAATCATAATAAAAATTATAAACAATATTCTTCTTGAAATCATATGTAAAATATAGAAAGACATTTCACATATTTGTTAATGTTTTAAATAAACAATTGTTTCAATCGTCTTTTTCAATTAAAGTTATAAAAATCTTCTAAGTTATATTTATGTCGTTTTACATTTTATTTTTATCTTAAAAAGTACTATGTAAAGTATTTTTGAAATTTTTCTATAATAATTGTTCATTTTAATTTTTTATTTTAAAAGGCATTTTAATTTAAAATTTCTATTAAAAAAGATTATTTTAAAAATATTCTGTTATCACAATAGATAGATGGAAAAAAGAAAATTTTTTTCTGCTAAAGCGCCACCATTAGGTAATATAAATTTTTTCATTTATTTTGTTTCATTGACATATTAAACATTTTATATATTACTTTTTATACCAAAGGTATCACAGAGTTTTTTATGTGTAGAAGATGAAAGAATTAAGTTGTTTTCGTCATACAGAATACCGTAAATGACGTAAAACAAAGTAATCAAAGTGAATGGATTATAAAAAATAAAATTAGGTACATAAATCTGGTAACAAAAAAATTCAAGTATTATTAGTATTAGTAGTATTAGTATTATAAAGGGTAATGGGTTATAATGATAAAATATTCATTGATTTATTTTTAGTTTCACTTCATAGTAAAATTCATCACATATAATACTGTATAATATACAATATATGACTATTCGAAAGTTATAGTTATCTGTGAAACTTAATATTTTTATCAAAATTATACGATGCATATAATAATTTACAAGATGCCATGATGACAAATTATGAATTAAATAGCAAACTAAATAATTAAGTAAGTCAATGAAATTATTTATTTAGTTTATTTTAATATTTAACATTAATTTACAATAATGTATTGTATACTTGAAATTTTTAATAACTTTAATATTTTCTTAGTAAGATATATTCCAGTATTTAAAAAAAAACTGGAAAATAGCAAGTATATGAAATAAAATTTTAATATTATTAGCCTATATTGTAAACGATTGGGAAAATTTCAAAGAAAATAATAAAAATTGATAGAAACATCCAAATATTTAACATCATTTAGGTGCTATTTTAATGTAACCTTATGAGTACCAATTATGTAAAATAATGAATGCAACAAAAAATAATAAGTATTACATTAAATTTATATTATTTCGTCCATTTTTAATTTTTAAATAAATAAACTTCGTTAAAAAAAATAAATAAAAAAATAACTAAATTGAATGCTCCAAAAGTAATTTTATTAGATTTAAGGATTATCGTGAAAAGAAAATTTAATTTGAAAAAATTAAATAGAATTTTTGATGGAAAAAAAGGTATTAGTTTGTAAGCCATTATCCAGTATCTAGTCAGTAGATCAGGCCCAGGTGGTAATCATCGAAAATACCTGTACGATTTGTTCTTCATTAAATGAGATTTTCTAACTATTTCATTGAATAATGATGATAATTCAAATCACCTTATTTGTAACAAGGTTTTAGTAATATACTTAACACTTATATTCTTAATGATAATATATATGTGATTTATTGATTTGTTTACATTGGAGAACTCAAGAGCATTCAAGTTTTTTCTTTATATACTAATACATATACTAAAATTCATTATATAATTATATATATTTAAGTTAAAATTTTGAAATTATCAAAAAATATATTAAAATATAATGAAGAATAAAAAATAATAATGGTATTAACAAATTATTAAAATATCTTTTTAATAAGGTCACGAATTGCGGAAAATGAATAATTTTTAATATTTAGTGGAAATAAAAAATTTAATGATATTAGTTATTTAACTATATTTTTATTATTTATGAATGAAATATAAAATTCAAATAAAAATAAAAATATTTTGAAATCACAAAATTATCATATTAAATTAATTCTAAAATATCTACATACAAGATTCCTTGAAAAGAAAATTTGTTTGAAAAATTAAGTGGATGTATCACAATAATTTATAATTATAAAAATAGTTATTTTAGAAATATTATTTTTTTAATTTTATTTTCAAAATTATATCAATTGTATAAGAAGTAAACATTAAAAATGTTACGAGTTTGAATATATGATATATTAATAAATAGAATTCGATATACTTTTAAAATATATATTTATTTATATTATTTTATATTTGCCACAATTGTATTATATTTACTAATTACATTTACAAAGTATTTATTATAAATATTGTTTTCTTAATTAAATTATTAAATAGTTAAATAGTTTATACATTGGTATACTTATATTATCAAAGCATAACCCAGTCATATTATTAAATAAAGTTAATAACAAATATGGCAGGATGTACATAAATTATTATAAATAGCTACGAAAATATGTTGAAAATCCTACGCAAAAATAGTTGAATGATAAATGAATATTTATTTTCAACATATAAATATTGGAGTAGACCATAAATTTAAACAGTATGTTATTTTTTAATGAAAATTTGTACTTTCATTTTTTAATTTTTAATATTTTGCACAAAGTTTTATATTATACAATCTATATTACTGTTTGTTTAAATATTATTTGATATTAGATGACTTATCTATTTTGTCCTTGTACTACATAATGCAACCTATATACTCCTAATTATATACTCTAGTATATAATATTAACGTTTAGGCTTTTTGACAAAAAAAATTGAAATACATAAAATAATTCATCAAATTTTAAATGTATTGTGACTTTGAAATATTTTTTTTAATGGAAATTCTTTTTAAATAATTTACAAATTCTGCAGCAATGTGAACTCCTAACTGGCGCTAAAGATTATTGTTATTGATATTGATATTGAAAAATATATTTCATTCTTCATTCACCATCATTTTACAATGTTCCAAAAGTTATTATAGAGATTAAATGTCGCGAAAAGATCAATCTAACAAGATATTCATCATTATTTTTATTATTTATTCAAAGTAATGCATGAATGTAATTGTAAAGATTTTTTTTATGCTATTCATGACCATTAATTTCAATATTTATTTACCTAATAAGCATTGCCTTTAATATTTCTTAATATTGTCACTAATAATAGTTTTATCAAATAGTATGAATTTTTTAAATAAAATATGAACTGTACATAAACATAAGAATGAATAAAAAGATAAATAATAAAATATTAAAATTCAATTTTAAAGTATCTTGTAAATATATAATTTAATAGTTATACAGTCTTATTTAGAAACAATATATACAAAAATGAATAATCAATTTTAGATCATTCTAATATTTCAGGTTTAAAAATATTCAGTATTAAATAATTGTTTTAGATAATTTTAATACAAAATCTATAAATATATTATATGTTATATTTTAAAATAATTAAGTAAAGTATTGCTGATTACTGATATATACTATCTTTTTAATGTCTTTCTATATGTCTTTTTCTCATATTTTTTCAATAATTTGTTTTGCATAAATAATTTAATCTAATAATAGAGAAACATCAAATTGGTATAAAAGAAAATAACATGAAATTTTTAAATACACTTATAAAAAAACATAGATTATATGTTTTTAATTTATTATTTCAGTTTGTATTCTAATCGTACTCTATTAAGATTATCTTAATAATCTAGATAACTGATTAATATTATCTTAAAATAACAGACATATTATGCAGAATAAATTTAAATCACGATTGCATATGATAATTGAAAGTACTTTTTAAAAATTTGTTTAGAAACTATATTACGTTACAATTTTGGTAATATATTAA